GAATGTTTAAGTGATTTTTATTATCGAGTAGCCGACGTTATAATACGTCGCCTTTTAGCTGTTGACAAGACTGGTATTTTTAGTGAGAAAATGAGTCCCTGTACCAAATCTTGTTACGTACACCTCGCTAAATTACACCTTGCTTATTCTCATGTTGGTTTTCTTAATGCTCCATCAATTCTCAAGCTTTTCTTCAAGGATTAACTGCTATTTCCTCAGTATTTTCATCAATTCTAGTTGTCGTAGTCTTAGTTCTGTTTACGACTTCCACAGTCCTGTTTTGGTCAGTCGTTTATCTTTCTCCCTACAAAACATTTGACAAGAAGATTTGACAAGATTCTGCTCACTCACGAGACCTATTGGAGTGATTCCAATTCACTTTCATGCACACATGTTTTCCTTGCCTCGCATGACGTACCCAAACTAGGCTTGTTTTTCATGTCTGTTGATTCTTCAACTCCCCATATCTGTCACTTTACCGAGTTCACACTCACCCCGTACTTCAATCGTAGAAACATGTTCGGGGTCGAGTCCTACTCATTACTCTCGTTCATACTACACCAAGTCAACGAATCAAACTTAGCATATAACTTGCAATCAATGATCTACCATCTGTTAGCCACTTCTTTTTCTCTGCTTACACCCCACTTCACTGATTTTCTGTTCAAACTGAAGTGATACCTTTCATTCTCTATTTGGTTGTTTTTCTCCACGCACATGTTCTAAAGCACGAGTGACTGGTCATCCACAATAAGTTTGCTTTTCTCAATTCTACAAATTTTACCATTGCTCTCTCCCCGGGAAAGCCAAAAAATAGAGAAGTTCCTCTCAAAATGTGTATTTCCTGCATCCTTGAACATAAGTATGCTAAAGCCTAGAACTACCAAACTAGTTTTGCTTTGGGTGTCCACCACAGTATGTGAATAATTCTCATTTATCCCATACTTTCGAAATGCCCATCGTTCAGAGTTCACCTTCACACACATTCCTTAGCTTTTGCAGTCAACTATACTCTCAGAAGCACTAGACTCAAACTTCCCTATCGTCAACAGTTCATGTACACCGTGCCGTCCTAGTTTTGAACTCCGGACCCATTGCATGGAAGGTATGTGTGTGTGTTACCACTGTGCCAATCAGCTCATCCCCAGGGCTGAACCGAACTACCAATTCATGTTTGTTCAGGTGTTGTCTTAAGAGATAATCAGTCAGTTCATTTTGATCCAACAGCAAAGAAGGTAAACACAGTTGACTATCTGTTAACTTCAATCGAACGCCTTCCCGAAATCAGGGTTTCCATGCAAGTTACGAACTTACCGGCCATCTAACCACTAGGCTGGGCTAATAACTCACATTTAGCTCACAGTTAATCGCAAAGGCAAGGCATTTGACTTTGTCCGTGCCATTATTTGTTATCGCTTGAGCTTCCACTATTTCAATCATACATTACCTTTGGATATGATTTTATATTAATTACAGTGACCTTAATGATTACCTGCAACGCGCTCAGTTTAGTTTCCTTACGAGTATCCGTGGGACATATCAACGACTCGCCCTTAGGTACTTTTGCTCCGCTTGTGAGAAATAAGGTTAGAAGGATCACCAGAAATTCAATTGGTAAATAGAGAAAACGTCGCGCTGACTGGAAAGTTGCACTTGAGCAAAGAAACCTAAAGACCATTGGTTTTTCTATCATTTTGTAATTGAGTGTCTATTCAATTCTTTCTTGGTCATCGGACATCGGTCATTTGATTCACAAGTTGTGTTATTTTCCAAAAATCTTGGCTACAAGAATTGGTCTGTAACGAATTTGTTCAGACCGAAAGCCTCCATTTATTTTGTGTAGATAGATCACCAGGAAGGAAAACTAAAGGTGGCGGTGACATCTCATATGTGCACCGATCGTGGTGTAACTCCACCAAATGCATATCCACTCACTGTAAATTTCTTCTATTACAGTGAAGTGTAACCTGCGTTCTCCTCCGTGCCGTTCTTGGATCGTCATTTCAGATCTCTACATTACTCCTGACTGTAATCGTAGTCAATTATCCACCTTCCTGGATAAATTCTATACAATTACGTTGGAGAAGTCTGTCACATCTGTTTTCATCCTTGCTGGTGATTTGAATAAATAGGATGTGAGTTTTTACACACTTGTCCCTTCAGAAAATTGTTAATTTTGTCGCTCGAAATGATGCCTGCTTGCAACGCATTTTCGTTAACGAACCATCTTTTTCGTGCCTTCAAACTTGCACCGGTAGGAAATTCTGATCGCTGTCTGATTATACTACAATATATGGTAAATCCAAACGGCAAATCTCCATGAAGAATGAAGCATATAAGGTACCTACACAAAAACATTATTAGCCCAATTTGATGGAGTTAGAATCCATGGTAGCCGGTATGGACTTGCAACTACCATCCGATCCCAATCTTTCAGTCTTCTGTGAGAACCCTAACAATTGTCTCAACTATTGCTATGATGTGTGCTGCCCTCAAGTAAGGATCCATCTATAGCTCGACCGCTTCATCTCTGATACATTGCAGTGGTTATATAGGCTGTAAAAAAGGTTAATCGCTCAAGAGATACACTGACTGTGGAATCTGTCAGCTTTCATATCAGAGGCAAAATAGCCTCATCTCAATCAATTGCATGTTGACCCCATGCTAGGAGATGTATCGCGTCGTTAGTCATGGAAAGTATTGAAGTTGCTTTGCAGTGAATCAAATTTACCTACTACAGTTTCACGTGACATCAATGTGCTCAACAAATCTTTTGCTTCAGTGAACAACATTGTACAAGCACTTGCGAGTCCAAATAAGTCACTTGATTTACACTTTCCTGTGTCCATCACAACAGAGCAAATTTTCAAAGAGTTAAATGCTGTCAATGGAAATAAATCCATTAGTCCTGATGGGTTATCCCCAGTGGTCCTTAAAACATGTGCAAACCAACTCTCACAAACCGTTGCATTTATCTTTAATGCATGTCTGTCAGAAGGAAGACTAGTTGACACATGGCGTCATGTTCGCATCACTCCAGTACCTAAGAAAGAAAAGGATAAGTTTTGGCCTATCGCCTCATCTTCAGAATTGCTTAGGACTTATGAGCGTATTATTATTATTAAGCACCTATCCTATTATATAGATTTTTATGATTCCAATCAGTTTTCTTATTGTAAGCGTGGCTCTACTTTAGTTGCGGTTGCTTGACTTGCACATTCTGTTTTGTCCGCAGTAGACCAAAAACACAAAATTGTTCATGTTTGCTTCTTGGACTACACAGACGCGCTTAACTGTTGACAGAAACATTCTATTGACACTATTACAGCAAAATAATCTCCCTCCATATCTTTTTAATTGGATGCACGACTATTTAAATGACCGACGTCAACTCACGTGTCTCAGTGATATTAGGTTTTCTATTGTCACCGTAAACCAATGTGTAATGCAGGGAGCAATTTTATCCCATTTTCTGTTCTCCTTTTACATTCAAAACTTTTCAGTCACCCCAACGGTTTTCACATTCAAATATGCTGATGATATAGTAGTTTGTGGTGCATCTAACAACAACCCTTCAAGCAACCTAAGTTCCATTTCTGAATATTCCTATGCTGTTAGTCTTTCTTAAAAACCAAAATTCATTGAAGTTTTGTTTTCCGTTAATCATAGACCATCAAAATGTTTTGGATCATCTGTTCCCAACATCTTAATCAATAAGTTAAATGATGTAAGTTGATCCGACACTCCCCGGGGTTCGACGCGCTCTACCGCCGCTCGTCTTCCCTATTTCTAATTTCGTCCCAGACAGCCTTTGTATGGCCGCCGCGCCTTCCTGAAAGTTGACTGTACATTTGTATATTCAATAAATAAAAGGACAGTTTTATTTATTGGTGACACTTCAAATACCTTGGTTATTTTCTGTCTGCTGACTTTAAGTAACATTTCTTAAAGTTAAAAATTTGATCTTGTACCTTTCACGCGTTCAACATCTGAGGGTCCCATTGTATGTCATTACTAAATTTATTTTCTCGTATGCTTTATGCCACTGGACCTGTTGATCCTCCGTTATCTTCTCTGGTGTATTATCTAAGGATTTTGTATTGAGCAGACGCTCCCTGGAAAGCATCTATAAATATGAAGCTGTATATGAAGAGGCACTGGTCGACTCGATTGTCAACCAAAACCTTGTGGTGAGTGACCCTCTGTGTGACTTAATTTTGCCTGGTGTACCACATTCATCAGACTCAACCCTCTCCCACTCCATTTCTACTTCTGTCACCCGCAATAAATTTAAACCTTCGTACACTCACACCATAGCTTTTCACAATTCCATTGTACCCCTTACCTTTCAGGTTTGTTGGTTTCCGGGGCACGAATATCAAACGAACTAATTAATACACAGTCTCATGTAAATTTTCATGCTGTAATTTTCAAACATCTGCTACGCGTTCTCTGTTCCTCCTCACCATTGTCTATTTACCATAAGTCATATCGTTAAATCTATTTTAGTAGCATGTATGCCAAAGCAAACGTGATAACATTCTTTTTACTGAAAATTCTGTTCATTGTGGATGAACAAAGTGTATTGTTGACTTGACTTGATCTTCTAAACCTTTCGAAATAAGACACCATCCCCCATACACACTGTGTGAATGCAAGAAATGGGCCAAAAAACGCTCCTTCTTTTTTATTCAAATACATCACAGAGCATATCTTATAACCTATACTCTTGCAAAACGTACGAGCGGAGGGAGGGGACGTTAAAATAAGGCTGATAGCTTACAGTCATTATAGATCTGGTCAACATAATTTGTCTACTACGCGACAGATTTACCGAGTTAAGTATCTCCGACTTCTCTTTATCTCTCTCTCTCTCCCGTTTTTTGTACAACCGCTCTATTCAAAGCACTGTTATTCGCCCGCTGATAAAGACAAAGAAGCCAAAGATGGCGTGGGACTCAATTTAGGAAGAAAAGAAAAGAAATATATAAAATATTTATTTATCCGGATTTGAACAAAAGAATGGCATATTGACCGATGTGGAAATAGATGAAATGCTTGCTCTCGTGGGTCACGTAGCTGAAATCGAACAACAACAAATAAAACAATGTAGCGGATAAGAACAGCCAATGATCTCAACATACTTGCTTGGCTAATAATACAACATTAGTTTCTGAGGAACGACATTAAACAGCGCCTAGATCATTTACACAAATTGACCACAGCTCTACTTATCAGGTGATGAGAAGTATTGAACAGGATGATCAACAGTATCATTAAAAAAGAAAGCTGTTATAGGGGAACAAAAGTGTTGACCGGTGTTTGAATTCGAAAAAATGTAAAACAGACACACACGAAGATAGGTGTGAAGTAGCTTACCTTCCGAATTGTCGTCCGACTACACAATGCCAATTTGGCCCGTATTTCCGATCGAATTCCTTTTTGATGTAAGCCGCGATATCTTTTTCCACGGTGAATTTGTCCAACGCCTCACCACTGCAATCGGCCGCTTCCTGTTGCATCTCGTCGGACATGTCAGCATTTTTGATCACTGCTTTCCTTTCTTGCATCATGGTTTACGCGCCAAGACAAAACTATATATCTGTGTATGTAATTCGGGATAGATATCGATTTATCACCGGCAAACCAAATGCGAGCAATTCGAGTACACCGGATAATCGATGGATCGGTGAGTAAATGCGTGGAAGTCGGGGCTTGGCGCGAACTTGATTGTGGTTCCGAGTGGTTCACCTGTGTGCGCCTTCGGAAACATTCATCTGCATATTTATATATACACATTTTCGTACCAATGTGTTTTAGGGTTTACGCACCGGCTCGTCCATACAGTAGAGGCATTCAGAAGCTTGGCTTCAAATGATCAGCGTGTGTGTGTGTGTGTGTGATGCACATCGAGGTTACAATGTCAACTTGCGCGAACGTAAGCTTACACTAATGTGCAGACACAAACACACTGATGTGCTAAACAGTGCCACGAGCACAAGCACATTGATGTGGTCGATGAGCCAGGGGGTTTGTGCAAACTTGAGTGCCTGTGCGCAGGTGTAAATGAATTCGTTCTCTCGTTCGTTCGTTCATGAGAACGCACCATATGAGTTCGTAAAAATGTGTCCGTCAGTCAGTTTTTATGTGGGAGGAAGGGACAGGGGTTAGATTGGGTTAGTGCATGTCACTGTGTATAGTTGCGAACCGCGAATTGTGAAGAGAAGGAATCGAACCATGTCTTATCTATTACCTCAGTTCAAATTTGTCTGCCCCAACATGCCGGCGTCTGTGTGTGTGCGTGTACGCGTGTGTGGCGTTGTGTGATTTCGGTAGCACAGAAATTCATCATTGTTTATTCAAGAATGTCAGATGTCTGACCAAGTTCATTGTAAATATTAGGGGGTATCATGATCATCGCGGTCGTAATCGTCGTTACCATGAAAAAACACCATTGTGGTTGACTGGCATGATCCATCGCAGTGTTTGTTTCCGTGCATGTTTTCTCAACATGCGTTGCTCATGTGATCCGTGTGGACTATGTGCAAGAAAACTAATTTTGGTTATCTGGGTCATTGCGTGACGGACGGACTGACTGACTCTGACTGACTGATGAAGCGACTCGTAATCATCTTTACGTCGAGTGACCTCGTCACACCCATTGTATCTAACCCACATTGGTATGAATGATTAGTAAGCAGAGCCTGAGTCCAGTTCGAGGCACATGTGGCGGAGATTGAACAACAGCCAACACTGCTTTCACTGGTGCTCGGTCATTCGCACACACACACACACACACACACACACACACACACACACACATACCTACGCACGCAAACCCGAAAATACATACTCAAGGGCACCAGCATTTTCACAACAAGCGGAATCAGAAATACGAGAGAAGCAAACAGTCAACGTGTGCAAGTAAAACTATCACATTTCTGCTCAGCCCAAACTGATATATAGGCGAGAAAATTTTGAGTGCTGACTGAGGGGTAAATATCTAACTCGAAAGTTCATTCGATAACTCCAGGTGTGGTACATAGGAATCTTACCTCTAAACAATAGTTATTTATTTTTCAGCTTTGTTTCTAAGTATGAACTCCACATCTGTCATTCACTCATAACGGTCGATAATGAACGGGCACTGGATCACATTCTTTTGACCCACAGAAATTATAACATATCTTGGAAGATAAAAACTTGTGCTCTGATGGATACAAAATTAAAATAATTACAGAGTATTACTGAAATTAGTAACTCTGTCTGTCTGTAAATTTTGCTAATTATAGTATTACCATCTGAATAAGAATACCGTTACATTGGAATGGAGACAAAACAGTTGATCACTCACAGTCTTGTTTTGCACAGCTTCAATGTCGGTCGCGTTGCACTGAAATGGCTGCAACAAACGGTCCCGTACCTGCTTGGTCGTGCGACCCAATTCTGAGAGATTGGTGTTATTGCGTGAATGTGTTTGTGTATATAAGCCGGGGCGGAGGAGTAGGCTCGTGAACCCCGTGGAGATGGACAGCCTGGGTCAGACGCTGTTGGGCACATAGCTCAGTGGTTAATACACAAGACCTTTTCTGTTGGTGTGGCTATGAACTATTCCTATTCCGATGCTATAGCTTCTATTCTATCAGTGTATTCCTTCTTTTCCATGACCACAATCCCGTTTCCTTTAGCTGGGTGACTGAATATTATTTATTTATCACGAATCAGTTCACGCAGTGCTTTGACGGGCCTTTTGGTGAGGGGGTCAACCTTGTGGAGGTGAGCTCTATGGTATAAATAGCAAGAGTTAACAAGAGTATGCTTTCATCCCTTTGATTCCAAAAGGTACCGAATCTCGTGTATGACTATACAGGTTTTTACTTGTACCTTCAAATCCACGAACAAATTCTTATTTGGCAAACAACCTTTGACCGACTTATAGAAACTCAATCTGCGTGGTTGGCATTAGGTAATAAAATGCTAATTTTTCTTAACTGTTTGCGAGAAAAACCTGAATTGCCTATCTTTAAGTGAGAGTTCGCTTATAAAATGTTTCAGAGGGTTCCACTAACTTAGTTGTTATTTGCAGGAATGCCGACGGTGTAACCGCCGTAGATCTTTAGTTTAGTCCCTGAACGTTCCGCTAACTTAAAGCCAGACTAAAATAAGTATAGAACTGAGCCCTGCTCCGTTCTATTTTACTCAAAGACAGTGCAATGCCAAGTGTTCCTTTTGGTTTCAAAATTATCACATCACTCCGACATTCAAATCATGGGAGAGAGTATTTCCAAAGCTAATTGAGACAAACAGCTATGAGACATTTTGATCCAATATCTTCCTTGGTTTAGTCACGTGACAAACGTTTTCACAATCATTCAAAGCATTTTTTTTAATTCATACAGGTTCGGAAAATCAGCTGTTCCTGGAAATCTTATCCGTTCACTAATCTATATCTTTTCCTTCTAATATTCCCTCTGTAAACCGCAACGAATTCACTGGGTCCCGATTTCCAATGCCCTGAAACTTTCTGCTTGAAAAAGGTTTTGGTAAATAAAATTATCCTAGGAACTTATCGTTTGCAGGCATTTTGATGTATGTAATAGTACTAGTTACAGGTAAGCACATGATTGGCATTGCTTGTATCACATTGTGACAGCTTTCAATCTTCTAGCCCAGGGATGACCATTTTGGTTACCAACTGGAAGATTCAAGGTTCGAGTCCTCCCATAGCCACAAAACTTTGCGCTGCATTGATAAGTTCTCACAAGGACGAAACAGCTATCCTACGTACACATTGGTGGTTTTCGTGTGCAATCTTTGACGGCTCTATTTTGTTAGAATAACCATTTACGGAACCAGCACTGCTCCTCACCTCGTCTGTAATTCGCACGATAGTTGTCACCAGCATCCAGAAGGACTCTTTTACTGGAATTTTTCGGGATGCCTTTCTCTCATATTGATCGCTGTAGATTTTCCAAAAAGATATTTCTTCACTGTATGGTTTCGGCATGTGCTGGTATTAAGTTTTCAATGCATAAAGCCTGTCGAAAATTGACTTGAATTGAAAAAAACTGTCTTAAGAGATGTTATACATCGATTCTCAGGAAATACGAACCAAGCTATTGCATTTTTTTATCCATTTGGTAAGGCAGAGTTTTACTTGAGTAAGACAGGTCTCAATTAATTAATTAATTAATTAATTAATCAAAAGCAATAAATTAACCAAAAGTTTGTTATAAGATACGTTGAAGATATATATGAAATGTAAGCTGGTTGTGACGTACGTGTGGTTGTGAGAAAGAAAACAGTACAAAATATGATCGGTAACAATAAATTATCATTCACTTTTAGTTCAGATGTTGCCGCTAAGAAATATTTATATTACATTTACAAAGGTGATTAGGGAAGTCACCTGTTTATTATCAGCCTCTTGTTTGAAACACACTTTTTTCAAGCCCAAATCTCTGGAAGGTGTGGTTTCACGAGTTCTGGTCGAGAGTTGACGTGATTTCTACCAGACATGATGCGGTGGAAAGAAGTCTATGCATTTTGAGGACACTATCACTTGACTGTTAATCAGGCTGTTATTTGTCTCATTCTGATCAGTAAAATGGATAACTCCCTTTTACCTTCTTCAATGACCGTTTTGGGCTGGCGACTGGCTATCTTAACACGTTTAAACAACAGAAGAACATCTACCATTTTTACGTAGAACTCGGGTAGGCGAAACACATTCCACATTCAAATATGACTTTTCATTTCACATCAAATTGTCTGTTGAGGTCGTGGATTATAGTGCGTTAAAAGGTATATCATTGTATGATGATACTCAATTAATGTTAGGGGTTGCCACTGGTAGCGAACAGTTCATCTGGCGTGCCGCTAACCAGGTTGCCTTGGGCAGTGTCGTGCGATCCTCTAACGGAAGCAGAAATTCGGTCTTGCATTCAGGCTCTCAAGCAAGGAAAGGCAGCAAGATCAGGTGAGCTCCCTCCTACTCTTTTCAAGATGGGGAGTGATGACCTAGTAAGCTGTATAACTAACTTACTGCGCAACATTTGGACGCAACAGCGCATTCCTTCATCTTGAGGCGAATCACTAATTGTTCTCATTTTCAAGAAAGGATCTCTCAACGACTGCGAAAACCACCGTGGGATCAGTTTGATCCCGATCGTCACCGAATTGCTAGCCTCGGTCATACTTCGAAGTCTGACTCCTTTAAAAGAAATCAACATCCGTGAACAGCAAGCCGGATTCCAACCTGGTCGTGGATGTATTGATCAAATTTTTACGTTACGCTAGGTCCTTGATGTGCGTCACACCCACCGCCGACCAACGATCCTTGTGTTCCTTAAACTGAAGGGAGCCTTAGACTCAGTTGATCGCAAAGCTCTGATGGGTTCCCGTCTTCAGAAAGGAATGCTACAGAAGTAAGTTAACTTACTGAGGTCACTGTACGCGCATATCTATGGTCGTGTAAGGGTCTATGATGGACTGAGTAGGCCATTCGTCACCAGTAGCGACTTTCGTCAAGGATGCTCCCTCTTGCCGTTGCTGTTCAATGTCGTCTTAGACG